ATGAAAGTCAAATAAAAGTCAACAGCTGCAGGTCCTCCATGTTAATTTACATAGAAGAATAGTACAATCTGCCTAACAGGGTAAAACTGAACCAAAATCCTGAACTTGTTTAGACATTTAACAACACACACACATAAAAATTGCACTTGGCTTCATAATGGATTAATTATTTGAATTAAACTTTAAACAAGGTAAAACTAACTTTGTTCTCTTTAATGACCCAATGTTACCTTTGTCAGGTTCTCAGACCAAGGAGAGTTTGTCATCAACTTACCCTAGAGAAAGCAGTGGAGAACCCGGCTTGAGTGAAGGCATAGTAGCTATGGCCGTCTCTGATCATAAATGCTGAGAACACAGTCAGCAACTTCCATTAGAATTGAAAAACTTTTTTATATAATTAAAACCTTTTTAAACAGACCTCATTGATGGCTCATCAGCCATCCTTCTGTGTTTAACTACCCTAGATGGTTCCTTTATTGTATGAGAGGTGTTTATAGGATGTGTGAGATTTTAATGAAAGGGAGAGAGGTTGTTTCTCTTTATAACAAATACTGAGAACGTTGCATAGAGTTCAAACTGTCCCAAAACATATTTTTATTTAGTCTGGCTATAATGTATATCTCTCCTTCTATAAAACACAAGGTGAACCATGTTTCAGCAACAGCGTTGTTACCATCATCAGGTAAAAGTACTGAATGAGTTATTCTGATGAAGATAACAATGCTGTTACTGAAACCTAGCACACTATTTTATAATCCAAATTGTATCTAATCACTCCATCTATATAAAATATATGTGTGTGATAACAGAGGAAGCAATAATTGATATAAATAGTAGGTGTCTAAAAGTAAAAAATATATGATATAATCAACCCCCCAACATAGCAAACACACAACTAAAATAAAGGAATGGAAGATATTCAATGTGGCAAAAGAATGTTCAATACTGTGAATAGTGTTTTGCCACTAATTAAAACACCAGAGCTAACTAAAACCAAGGATGACCATTTCTCCCCACTTTACCCTATATTTATTGTTTACTTCAAGATTCTGATTTTCCTTTACTACACATCAATCCTATGGGCAGTGTGACCCTGGCAGTATATATATATATCTCTACCCACAACTCTTCTTGTAGGGGAGGAGCTTGTCAATGCCAGAGGACCTCTGGAGGTTGTTCTTCAGGAGGTAGCAGAGGCCGTTGGCGTAGTAGGTATCAGAATGGATGGTGTTCTTCCACAGATGGGAGCACACCTGGTACATCACATGGACTTCTACAGAGATGTACAACAGAATATATTACAGCAAAGTAGGTATTATTTAATCAATGGATTATCAATATAAATATTTGTTACACCTAGCAAATTTATCCCATTACGCCTCTCTGTTCTTTTTTGTAAGCTGTGAATGTTTTAATAAAAATAAATTACTTTGTGATCCTTATGTGTACTTCATAATTTTTTGACATAACAATATCATGCACTATCTAAAGTAAAAGGTGGAAGTTTACACTTATATACAGAGAGAAAACTCTACTATCTAAGTACAGTATAGTCAATTCTCAATTTAAGACTACACACCATACGAAAATAAATTCTAGGACTCAAATACATTATTTTATAAAAATCATTCATCAAATGACTTTCACACACACACACACACAAACTTATAAATTCATGTTTATATTATAGTAGAAATTATCTCTAAAGTGGACAACACCTAGTTTCAGAGTCAAAGTGTCCTTTAAGTGTCCTCTTACCAGAGAGAAACTAATTACTAAAAATGAGAATTTTGGAGATGAAAAACTGTATTTTATAGAGAGGTGTCCTTACTGCAATGCTAAAAATAATAGGAAGGCCTGGCTCATCAGTGGTAAACTCCTCCAGCAGTTTTGCCAGTTTAATCTACCATACTGCTTTACTATTGTAGAAAAATATAAGTTTATGTATAGGTTAACAATTTTAATCATTATATTTTACTACTTCTCTTTAACCTCTCTAGTATTTTATTAAATATAATTTTGTTTTCTTCATTGACCTGAGGAAGGCCTTTGATACCGTGCCGCACCATCTACTTTGGAAAAAATTAGCATTAAATGGTCTGAGTTGCCGATTTATTAAACTAATTAAGAACTATTATACCCAAATGACGGCAACAGTCAGATGGCGGGGTTCCTTCACGGAGGCTATCAAAATACAAGCGGGAGTATTGCAGGGGGAGCCGTTGTCACCTTATTTATTCATTCTCTTCCTAAACTATCTGGTACACCTGTTCGATGAATCAGAATTGCCAGGCATAAATCTTGAGAATTATGGAACTATACACCTTTTACTGTATGCAGACGACATAGTGATCTTAGGAGAATCGAAAATAAATTTGCAATTGAAGATTAACTTACTTAAAAAGTACTTAGAAGATAACTGCCTAACGTTAAACCAAAATAAATCTAAAATAATGGTGTTTAGAAACGGTGGAAGAACAGCTCGTTCCGAGACATGGTTTTGGGGTCAGCAACCCCTGACAATAGTAGCTAAGTATACATATCTGGGTTACCCTCTGACTACAAAAATCTCGACCCAATATGCTTCCCAATACTTTAGAAACAAAGCACTGAATGCAATTAATGCACTTTGGAGAATCCTTACAAAGGCGCGAATAAAGTCCTTTACCTCAGTGATGAAACTTCTTGACACTATTGTTCTTCCTACTTTACTATATGCGGCACCAATGTGGGCAATCAACCAGCTGAAGACAGTCAATAATACCCAAGATACATTTCTTCGTCGTCTCTTAGACTTACCAAACTTCACACCAGGATATGTCCTCAGAAGAGAATGTGGAAGAATATCAACTGAACTTAATGCTGTAAAACTCACATTAAAGTTTTGGGTCAGGATTTTTAAAATGGAGACGAGCAGATTACCACATGCTTGCTTAAATTACCTCTGGAAAGTCACCGCGAAAAAGGAAATAGAAAACAGCTTTACTCAAAATTTAATAAAAATTCTAGACTCCAAGGGATATTCCTTTCTGAAGGGCTGCGAAGACTACTTAGCCATACAGAAAGAATTGCCAGGCATAATTAGAACTACCACAGACCAACTAATTCAAAACGATCAGATGAAAATCACTGATTCAACCCACTTTGCTCACTACAAATTTTTGAGTGAATCATTCATGACAGAGGAGTACCTACGATTAAATATCTCGCTTCCCAACAAAAGACTAGTTGCACAACATAGAGTTTTATGGCAATTTTTCAGGGAAGAAAGAAAAGACTTCTGGAAAGAAAATGGCCGGAACTGTTTACTTTGTAAGGATCTCATGGATGATAATTTGGTTCACTATTTCTTCCAATGCCCTCTCTTAACAGAAAAACGTACTGAAACTTTCCCAAGCCCTACCTCTGGTCAATTTAGATACCATAGCATATGTCAACTTCTCTCTTCAGATCTGAACGATAAATTACTGATTGATAAATACTTTAAGTTCTGTACAGAAGCTGGGCGCATGAGAAAGAATGCAGGGCAAAGGATACTGGAGGATGATCCATCTGTAAATAGGTAACAAACCTTATTTTTGTTGTAAATGTTTCCTCTTCCCTCTCCTCTTGTTGACGTGTAAATACGGCGAATCCTGTATGGGGCGGAATGCCCTAAATAAAGGCTTTTGTTGTTTTGTTGTTTAAAAAATATAATTTTGTTTTACATTGATTAAATTGCTGGGTTGAGGTTTGTCTTTCCTGTGACACAATATTATATACTGAAGATAAACCTGTGGCAAAGGTATTTTAAGTAAATTAGGGACATGAGCTTTGAGAAGAGAGAAAGTAGAGAGAAATAAATATACATGCATGCATTGAGCATTGCTCTTTCACAAACAAGTAATAAAAGCCTTTTAATCATAATACATTATTGTGCCATGTGTTGGCACATTGGAAATGTAAACCATTTCTAGTGCATTTATCTCTTTTATTTTAAATAAACTGCTTGTCTCTCATATGTAAGAAGTTTAATGTTGTTGATAGTACCCTGTAAGGGCTCCTAATCCAGGGATACAGGATGAGCAGCGTTTGTACCCCATGGCGTCTGTTCCACAAGTCAGATGCGGCCATATCTTTTGAAGCCAGCCTGCTACTAAGTAGTGCTCCCAGTCTTAATGACAAAGGCAGATGCGTTCTACTTCACCCAGTCATGATGGTTGTCAAACAGACACCATCAACGGTCACAACTTGATATGATTGAGTGGAGATAAGAAAGAAGAAGCTTTATCAGTGTTATTTCTATCGTCACTTCTACCATTCTTATTACTGATAAAAATACACTCATGGACAAAGCTTGAGGAAGTTTCATATTTTGATGTTGCCGGTAGTCTATTTTTTGAAGGAGCCAGAGGCAATTATGTTCATACTTGGTTATCTTGTGTGTCTTCAATAAAGGTCACTGTGTATCAAATATCTTTCAGAGTTATTGTTTGAATCCCGATATACATGCTAAAAGGTACAACTTCTCAAGTTTTGTCCATGAGTATATATATATATATATCTCTATATATATAAAAGTCAATGTCTGTCTGTTTCGCGATGACTCAAAAACTACTGAACCAATTGGTACCAAATTTTGCATGTCGCTTTTTATAAACCTGAGGAAAATTTCCGGCTACATTTTGATTAGTAAAAATAAAGAAGGCATCTCCTGACCACAAGCACATGTGCTTTTTAGATGGCAGAGCGCCATCTAGTGGAGTAAAAATAAACTAAACGTTTATTTAGCTTACTCCGAGATATTTGGCCAACCCAATTTCTTGATAAATCAAGAAAAGCCATCCACGAACGCGTTTCGCGCTGTGGGCGCTCGTCAGCGTGGAGAAGGCTGTAACCATTGCGACCAAAAACTTTTGATTAGTATTTTTGGCTATTTCTTTTTTTCATTTGAAGAACTTTTTTTTTACGCAGAGTAATCCGGAATGGAATAAATACCCAAATATGGCCATTTTTTATAAGCATCGGTGGTTCAGTGGTAGAATGCTCGCCTGCCACGCGGGTGGCCTGGGTTCGATTCCCGGCCGATGCATTTTTTTTTTACAATTTTTAAAACTCATTTATATTATATATAATATATATAGTCACGACCGTCTTTCCTCATCGGCCGCCTCTGTCACGGATAATATACAGTTATCATCGTCATGCGTTCTTAATTCTGTCACCATTTGCTTTTGGTTCAGTGGTAGAATGCTCGCCTGCCACGCGGGCGCCCCGGGTTCGATTCCCGGCCAATGCATTTTTTTTTTTTTTACAATTTTTAAAACTCATTTATATATTATACAAGAATGACATCCACGGCGCCAATTTATAATTGTAACAAATAGTATTTGAATAAAAGCATTTAATCGGGTAAACCCCGGGCGTTGCCCGGGTCATTCGGCTAGTATAATATAAATATATATTATTATATATCAACTATATTAATTAAATCAAATACCTAAACACTAATATAATACAATTTTTGCCATCACACACACTTTTTTCCTGTAGTTTATGTGTTACTTCTGTATTGCTATTCTATGGCACTTCTAATATTTATTATTGATGTACTTTCAGTATGAAGGAAATTGCAATCGGGGGAATTCTCGGGCGAAGCCGGGTCATATGTCTAGTATTATATATATATACAGTAGAAACTCCATGAGAGGACACTCACACTAGAGGACACCTCTCTATAAAAGGACAGTTTTCATTTGCAAAATTACCATTTTTACTATTTAGTAGCTCTCCGGTAAGAGGACACCTCTCCCTAAAGGACACTTTGGCTCTGAAACTAGGTGTCCTTTACAGGGAGGTTCTACTGTATATCACATATGACAGATGGTATTATAGGAATGGGTAGAAATTATTTAGGAAAAAAGAATTTATAATAGTGAACAATACTCCTGTAGAAGGGCTTCACAGCCTGACAGTTTGTGAGTAAATAAAAGATTCCTGCAAGAAACTTCTCTCTGGATACCTTTTTCCCAAATGCTAGGAGGTTTTACTTACAGCCACTCTTCCTTTCTTCTTGGGCTCCACAGCCAAGGAGATCCCCAGCCACATCTCATCTCTCAGCTCCATGTAGCCCTCGGCGTCTATGTTGTCTGTCAGATAGCCCGAGTAGATAACTGCCCACAAACATCAGTTATATACTGGCTGAACTAATTCTTAGTTGAAATTTAATTTGTTGCTCTGTGAGCATTATTTATTTTATAAACCTTTTTTTTTTTATTATTTATTAACCAACCAGGCGCGATATTGAAATATTTGCGCCTAATACAGAGGTAACAAAACACAAACAAATTGAAACTTAGAATTAAATATTTACAAATATTAATATAAACCTTTAGAATTTGTAACAATTTTTTTTTTGGCAAAGTTTCTTTTTAATATAATATCATTAAATATTTTTTATCTCTACAGACCCTACTGCAATGATAAAAGCTTGGTTCAACTGTGGTGAACCTTCTCATTCAATAACTTTTATTATTGCAGTAAGGTCTGCAAAAAAAATATTTGATGATATTATTAAATTAAAAAAGAAACACATTGCCAAAAAAAAATAATTGTTACAAATTTTATCGATAGATGGCAATTGAATTTATAAATACAAATCTTTTTAGACAAAAATGGGCCAGCTTAGACCAGGTTCTGTCTGACTGTCCAATATGGTTTCTCAAAACAAAGGTTTATTAATGATAGTGATCAGAGAATTCTCATTTTTAATCATTTTCTCAAATTTATGAAACTGGAAAAAGAAAATTAACCAGTTATTGGGTTGAATTTTAGACTACAGCTTCATTTTAAAAACTATTAGTAGTAGTATAGTGATGATAATTGATAATTTATGATTATCTCTTCTTTTTTTTTTATCCCAGAATACAAAAATTTGTAAAAAAAAAAAAGTACAAAAGTGAAATTGTACTGGGATCAGGTGGATAAATTAAGGAACCTGATCTTGCAACTAGAAGTTGCTAATGACATCTATTGGAATAATATCAACTAATCATTGATTTTTTAATAATATTTAGAATCAGAAAATTTCAGTTGCACGATGAGATATCTTTTCTTAAACATTTATTTATAGAGATTCTCTAAGATAAAATATCTAAATACCTTTGTTTTTTTTTTTGTTTTTTTTTTTGCTTATCCCTAGTACACATGGTACAGGCCATGATAATCATGGTGGGTGTGAAAGCCGTTCGACTTTGCACTTACAAATGTGCCAGAGCCCCGTTTGGTTACTTGCACTCGCTGGTGGGGTTGGACTTTTGCAAGAATCGGGGGGCCATTGGAGCATTTTTTTTTTTAAACAGAAAAAAGTGTCCAATGCGGGGGATCGAACCCTGGTCGTAGTGGTCGTAAACCAAACGGTTTAACCAGCCTTCCACCGACCCCCCAAATACCTTTGTGAAAATCAAAAATGATTTGACATAATCCAAGCTCCCCTGAAGGAGTGTCCACCTCTAGGAAGGTAGCTATATATTTAGGTGGTCTCTTATATTCACCACTGATATGATGAACCTTAAAAACTATAGACTAGAAATATTTATTAAGAAATTAACCCACATATTTTTTTCTTATGGAGTTTGTGGGTGATTAAAGATATTTTATTAAAACATATTAATTATATGAAAGTTGCAAAGAAAGTGAGTTTTATTTAAGAAAAAAAAAATAGATAAAAGGTGAAATACCATTTTACATATTTAAAGTGTGTCAAGTTCAATACCTTACACAGTCACCATACTCTCTAAAATAAATGGATCCTTGGCCCAAGAAGTTTGAATTATCTATAAAAAGATAGAGATGAAAATTTTACCAGGAGAATAATGATATATAAAAATTCCATCTAATTTTGACATCTGTTTTGATGAGAGAGTTGTCCTTTATTTTTATAGATCATTATCCTACAGGTAAAATTTTCATTGGCCTCTTTGGCAAATTGTGAAAATTTCATTTGAATCCCTTGTGAATCACATGAAATAAGCCTTCCCTAGGCTGACGAGGGCCATTAGCCCAAAACCATGGTCTCCAGGTGGGCGCTTCTCAGTTTGCCAAAGCTGGTGTTGTGGCTTTGTCACTGAACTGAGGCTGCTAATTTGTGGCGAAGGTCAATAGATGATGTCTAATTTTGAAGTCTGTTTTAACAGGAGAGTAAACTTTTTTTTTTTTTAATAGAAAAAGAGATGTGGTGGAATTAGCCCTTCCTTTTTTAATATATATAAACTAATAAAAAATAAATGGAAGTTTGCTGAACATTTTTTAAGGGTAATTTGGAGAAAGACCATTATAGAGGGATATACCTTGGAGAATGAAGGAAGGATTGGTTTAATATAGAGGTCTGGAATAAGAGAAGATATATAGAGATGAAGAGAATTAACAGAGTGAAAAAGGCATCCACTGGTTTCTTTATCATAGGTGGCAGAATATGACCATATTTGGGTTGTGAAAGAGAGATTAAATGGCAACAAACCCATGAGGTTAACTATGTGAAATGAATTTGTGGAAGTTTCCAGAAAGTCTGTGAAATAAATTTTGATCATTTATTTGGCTTAAGTCATCTTAAATGTCTTGCCAGCTTGTTCATTTCAGAAGGAAGCTGGATTTGTTCATTGACCTTTCTATTGAAAGGCAATAATAAGGGGAATATTCAAGGATATAATCAAGAGACTAGTAATTTGTATTCCTTGGAGACTTTTTAAGTCATTATATCTCCTGATGCCACACATTTAAATAGATTTGACTTACACAGAGTAGTAACAGGGTTGCTGGCAAACTGTCATACACAAAGTTTACCTACTTTGTTGTGCTACCTTTTTATTTTCATTCAAAACCCAACAGCATATTTTATAAAGATGCAAAATTACAACCCAGATTATCCTCAAGAAATACAATCAATGGAGGAGGGATATAGAAAGACACCAGACAGAACTGGAAGTCTAGAACAAATCTAGAAACTGTGGGAGTACAGTACAAAGTCTGTTTACAACCCAGAATATCCTCTAGAAACACAATCAATGGAGGAGGGATATAGAAAGACACCAGACAGAACTGGAAGTCTAGAACAAATCTAGAAACTGTGGGAGTACAGTACAAAGTCTGTTTACAACCCAGAATATCCTCAAGAAATAAAATCAATGGAGGAGAGATATAGAAAGACACCAGACAGAACTGGAAGTCTAGAACAAATCTAGAAACTGTGGGAGTACAGTATAAAGTCTGTTTACAACCCAGAATATCCTCTAGAAACACAATCTATGGAGGAGGGATATAGAAAGACACCAGACAGAACTGGAAGTCTAGAACAAATCTAGAAACTGTGGGAGTACAGTACAAAGTCTGTTTACAACCCAGAATAACCTCTAGAAACACAATCTATGGAGGAGGGATATAGAAAGACACCAGACAGAACTGGAAGTCTAGAACAAATCTAGAAACTGTGGGAGTACAGTACAAAGTCTGTTTACAACCCAGATTATCCTCAAGAAATACAATCAATGGAGAAGGGGATATAGAAAGACACCAGACAGAACTGGAAGTCTAGAACAAATCTAGAAACTGTGGGAGTACAGTACAAAGTCTGTTTACAACCCAGATTATCCTCAAGAAATACAATCAATGGAGGAGGGATATAGAAAGACACCAGACAGAACTGGAAGTCTAGAACAAATCTAGAAACTGTGGGAGTACAGTATAAAGTCTGTTTACAACCCAGAATATCCTCTAGAAACACAATCTATGGAGGAGGGATATAGAAAGACACCAGACAGAACTGGAAGTCTAGAACAAATCTAGAAACTGTGGGAGTACAGTACAAAGTCTGTTTACAACCCAGAATATCCTCAAGAAATACAATCAATGGAGGAGGGATATAGAAAGACACCAGACAGAACTGGAAGTCTAGAACAAATCTAGAAACTGTGGGAGTACAGTACAAAGTCTGTTTACAACCCAGAATATCCTCTAGAAACACAATCAATGGAGGAGGGATATAGAAAGACACCAGACAGAACAGGAAGTCTAGAACAAATCTAGAAACTGTGGGAG